CCGCGAAGAGCCCCCGTGACGCTGCGGCAAAGAAGAAGGCGTCGAGGAGAGGGCCGGCCTCCGAGGTGGCGCCAGTGCACGGTCTTGAAGAAGGGCGGCGGCGCGTCTCAAGGAGATCGGGCGCCTGGGTGCTGGAACGTCATGCGCCGGCTGCCGAGGTCCCAGACGATGGGCCCACGCGCGCCCAGCCACCGTGTCCCCAGGACGACGTCGTACCCGGCCAGCGGCATGACGAAGAGGTCGGCCGGGAACGCGACGCCTTCGATGAGCAGGGGGGCGTCGCGGATGACGCCGTCGCAGGTGACGCGCTCGCCGTTCGCGACCAAGGCGGTGAGGCGGGGGCGATGGCGCAGAGGAAGGCCAGAACGCCGGGCACGCCGCCCGAGATGAAGTTATCGCGTACGCCGAGTCGAGGAGAGCGACGAAAGGCTGGCGCCGAGGGCCACGCGGATCCGCATGGTACCCGCCACGAGGACCTGACCACGGCTCAAGGGAAAAGCGGGGCCTCGGCGTCGGCGCGACCGCCGCCGCCTCGTCCGCGACGTCGTCAATCTCGACACCCTCCAGGAAGAAGATGCGCCTGCAAAAGCGGTTATGGCCGCGAGTGTATTTCTCATTGCGGTTGAAACAGAGACCAGACGGCGGCGCCACCATCTCCTCGAGCGAGACGGCGATTCCCATTATCGCTGCCCGGTGCTGGCTGCCATGGCCGAAGGTGCGGCGATGGCCGTTGTGGTGGTGGCGGCGAAGCGGCCGGGAGCGGCGCGAGCGTATGCAAGGCATGGCGCGCGGCGAAAGCAGCGGCGTCGGGCGCTTCGGCCTCCATCGGCTCGATCGGGCGCATGCGATGCTTGGCGGCATGCGGCGAGCGAAGAAGTCGGGTTGTGGAGGCGAACAGCATGGTTGAACGGCGCCGCAGACCGCCGTGTAGAGCCGACCTTGCTGCTCCTCGTCCGACGACCCGCCGAGGCAGGAGCGCTGGAAAACGGTTGAGTACTCCTCGCGGTGCCCGACGCCGCGCACTTTCGGTGAGTTCGAACAATGGCGCCGATCCGATCGGGCGGGTCGAATCCGCAGAGTTGAGGAACTCCTTGAAGCGCGCCTGTGTGGGCGTGTTGAGTCCTCCTCTCATTGGGTATACCACAACCACGCGACGCCGCCGAGGTGGTAGGAAGCCTGCCACACGCGTTCCTCCGCCATGGTACGGTGTTGGCGGAAGTAGGAGTCGCATTTGTTGAGGAAGAGCATGGGGTCGGTGGTGCCGTCGAAGCGTGGGAAATCCCACTTCTTGTGCTTGGGCGGGTAGTCAGGGTGCTGACCGTCCGCGCGCCGATCGCCACTGCCGCCGCCGGCGGACGACTCGGACTTCTCCTTCTTCAGCGAGGCCATATCGGCCTTCATGGTAGCCATGTCGTCGGTGAGGGCCTTGATGGCTGCCATGAGGTCGGCTGCGGAGGGCTCGGCCATGATTGGCGCGAGGGAGACGGACGCGGCTGAGGAGGGCGATGGGGGTGCGGCGGAATCGGGCTGGGCGGCTGCGGAAGAGGAACGGGAGGAGCGGGTGGGAGAGGATCGACGAGACCGTGATACCAGGTTGTCAAGGGCACTGTAGTTTAGGGTAGCTGGCCCTCGACTACGAAGCTCGTAGTCTCCGGCTGAGTCTTCCAGGGTGGAGGTTATACCCCTCTCAACCGGCTGGGCTTAGGAGGCGTGGAGGAAGAAGAGAATAGGAGATTAATCTTGCTTAATTCATTCTTCCCTGCTTACAGGAATAAATAGCCAATGGCTCAACCAACTATGGAAGGAATTCCCCTAATTATAGGACTAACCAAAACAGCCTCTAATCCAATCCCTGATCTCTAGCCACTGGAAGTTGCCCCTTCGTGCTGGTGGACCGCGCGCTCTGCGCGCTCAGCCGCGCGGCGTACATCGCGGGCGCGCCTGCGCCTTGCGTACGTCCGTCCGCACATGACACACATGATCCAGCGTTGCGTATGATGTAATACGGAGGTCAAGTGTTTTGTGCTATACTGTATGTGTAACCTGCCAGGAACAAAAATTTGATGCAGTACCAGCTGATTGCCTTTTGCAGCTATAATGTTCGTGATCTTTCGAAGAATATAACAATGTAAGCTGAAAGATTTGCCATCATATATTTTGATTCGAACTAGCCATCATATTCATATATATAGGCAGCATGTATCCTGGCATTTTTCGTATGCATATCGAATTTTGTATAGCTATAACCTCAGTGTCTCGTTGTCTACCTGGCCAACCCTTCCAGTTGCATTCTACTGCTTCGGCTGTAGCCTCCTCACATGTTACAACTGCTTGGTGTCTGCATTGTTGTTCTCTCGTTTTCCTTTTTACCTTGCAAGTAACATAGGCACAGGTCTGTGTTATTGCTCGGAAAAGGGCTCAAGTCTGTGTTTGCTAATTAGATATTCCTTCGTGGAGAGGGCAGAACATTGTGTTTTTTTTTTTGTTTTAAAATAAAAGAATGTTTGAGTACATGTAATCTTCTTGGACATATTTACATGCATAGAAGTAATGCGTTGTGAATACTTCTCACTTCACAATAGAGTCACTATGAATCTATGATACTGACTTTTCTACAGTGACAGCAGTTTGATCTGCCATCAGACATTGCTCATGAGTACATAATCTAATAATCTATAGTCTTTGTACTCTTATTTTTACCTTTCCTCTGTTTTTAGAAAACTTCTGCATATGAACATTACATGGCACTGAATAGTCAATAATCTTAATGTGGTAACATGCTAGCACTGCTGTAGTTGACTCTCCATCCAACTTCAATTTTCTTATTTCTTCCCGTGAATAGAGATGTATGTGCTGAGATTCATGTTTCAACTTTGAAATGTACGAGCTGTCTCAGGCCAAGCAAATTTTGAGTTACCTCACACAAATGTTATGATGTCCGCTGTTACCTCACACAAATGTAATCAAAACTCGACTTTTATGTGGGTTTTGGTGTATTAATCATGAAAATTAGGGACTAACTATGTTTACGAGAATGTCTACAACTATTAATCCCCATGATGTATATCAACATTTTATCCCTTTCAACGCATCTAGGCCCCAATTGGATGATTTGGGGTTTTGGTGATTGATGAACACAAATGCTTGTGGAATAACGTGTGTTTTACAATGAATAATCATGTTTTATAATGAATAATCATATTGGTTATTCACAAGAATGGCCACGGTATATCGTCCCCGAAGACTTGTGAAGAGTATTGGTGCTAAGGATATTTGTGAATACTAAAAACTCCATAGGGTGTATGTAAGCTTGGTGCTTGGAGACATTCAATGTAGAGTGTATTTGAGCTCTCTTTTCCTTTCATCGTGCTATTAAGGGGGTCCAAGGCATGCATCTCGAGGGAGTTCAAGTAAGAGCAATTGATATGTACAGGATGCTTACTCATTCAAGACTAAGGCATAAGTTTCCCATTGGAAAGGTTTCAAATCAAGGATCTCAACGACTGGAGAGCTTGGGGTACTTATAGGTGAAACTTGAGGCGGTTTCGCGTGGGCCCAGGTCAGCCACTATAGGAGGCTCCTGACCCTCCATTCCACCACCTTGATGGCGGTTGGAAGTTACCCATGTTGCCTTGGATGCTCTGGAGCTAGGTCGCCTGACTTGAGGGAGATCACCAACCTGGCTTCTGCTCTAATTCGTCTGATCATCCATGTGTAGATGATCAACGGTGTGTACATTCCCATGGTAAGGTGCATTGTGTTGACTTGTGTTTCTTTGCATGGTGGTGGGTTCATTGATCCATTTGACAATCCATCCCATCCACTCAAAGTAAACTGATGTTGATCCAACGGTGCATCTTGTTGGTCCGTGTGTTTCCTTGCATGTGACCAAGATTGGGGGTAATTGGGCCCAGGCGCAAGTCACACGACCTAGGTGGGGTCGGTTATGGGCCATCTAACTCTCTTTTGTTCTAGTTATTCCTTATGATCAAATATGCACCAAACTTGTGAAACTCTTTTAAAAAATTCCTATGACTATGGTAGTGATCATCGAATGTGTCATTTTCATGTTATGTGAGTGGTGAAAAGTTTACAATAAGAGTTACCAATAGTGGTGACCCCCGACAGATCGTTTGATGGCAATATGCCTAGGATAGTAATGACTTAGCCCTAGTAACTAAGTGGTCACTGTATGATCCGATGTGCCTTTGTTGCACCTAGAGGATCATCTGGTGAGGCCCACTCCTTGGTTGCGGTCAAGTGGCTAACCCACTAATGTGCACTGTACGATCCAATAGTGACTTTATGAAACCCCAAGAAATCATTCGGTAAAGCCCAACTAGACTTGGTGACAAGTTGGCCAGTTTACTGGAGTGCACCGTACCATCTGGTGGGACTTATGACTCCCTATGTACCACCAGGTGGCCCAAGCTCAACTTAGTGACAAGTTAGCCAAGTCTCATTACTGCATCTTATGATCCGGTGTGATTGTGACACACCGGCGTATCATATAGTAGGGAACCTACAATACATTCCTTTCTATCCATTGTAATTTTAGGCTAGATCTGTACCACTGTGTAATAAAGAGCCTGATCTAGAAAATCTGTCGCACACTAATTTTGACTGTCTATAGTTTCGAGGCCAATTCAGAGATCCAAATTTCTTTATGCTTTTTTATGAAAAAGAAAATCTATATGCTTTTGTAGTTGCTCTAACGAGCAAAGTACAGTATTTCAAGTTTCAACACCAAATCGAGTTGACCGGCGGAAGAAAGGCCGCCACCGCCGAGTCACCAACCACTCCCGGACTCACCACCCCAGCCGCCACCCGCCACGTTCCAACCGGAAGCGGAACTTGCTGCACTGCTTGGTACCCAACGAGACAATCATTCAAATCCTCCGCGGAAAGTCCGACAAGTCCGCGGCGAGCAGGGCACGGCGCCGGTCGATCGGATCTAGAGGGTGAGGGTCCGTCGCCGAAGAAACTCTCAGGCGGAGGAGATGGCCTCGGAGGAGATGAAAGCGACGGAGGTGGCGGCGCTGCTGGATCTGAAGCCGCACCCGGAAGGCGGCTTCTACGCCGAGACCTTCCGCGACGGCTCCGTCACGCTCACCACCTCCCAGCTCCCGCCCCACTGTACGTATATCCGCGATTCGCCCGTATCGTTTGATTGCTGCGCAGGGAAGCGTTTGCTGTACTTCAATCTCTCGACGCATGAGGTATCATTGCACAGGATAGTGCGCGATCGGACCGAATTGAGATGAGGTTTCTCTCGTCTTCGGCTTGCGCTCGCGTATTTCATACCACTTGACCGCTTTTTGACTGATTGGTGCGGTTCTACAAAGTACAAACTGCGAATTCGGGAGAGCTGAAGCCTACCTCTGAAGCCACCCTATCAGACCGATGCACCTCTGCTGCTCGCGTAGCTCATCCCCTTGTTCTACTGCCTGTTTCTCCTGAAATCGTCAGTTCGTCACAGCTTAGCTTTGGAGTCCCATGACCTCGATGCTACAGTTGAGTTTGGGCCTGCTACTTCAAAAGTTCCAATTGTGACCTTGCTTTGTCATCCAGACCAGAAATTATACCGAGGGCAATCCTGTTCTTTGCATAATGTTCTCCATCTTATCATTCGTGCAAACTTCATCAGCACTTCTCCCACTTGTCTCCCACAAACCCTGACAACCTTGGAAGTTGGAACTGGACTAGAACGCCAAACAGCTCTAGATTCGAGGGTCTTCTGGTATAGCCGAACGTGAGGGCACTAGTTAATTCTTAGTTTCTTTTTTTGAATGATAATGACAGGAGCTCTGCCTTTTAATTAAGAAGAAAGTTTATGTACAAAAATATGGGCAGCTGCCACAACAAGGGCACCCTTGCCCGGCCTCTCTCAAAGTCTCAATACAAGCACAAAGTGATAACCCTGAAAAACAGTGAAACTTTTATCCCATGGTTTGGAACGCCCGTCTGTACTGCACTAGGCCCTCTTTCATTTTCTCAGCCACCTGCAACGCAGAAAGGCTCTTGTTCTAAAAAAACTCTCCGATTACACTCTTTCCACAGGTTCCACATAGTCGCTACACAAAACATTGTTCAAAACAGAATTTTTCTGATTGATAAACCACAACCTTGCTACTGACACAAAGTCAGCTCCTGCCTGTTTAGTGTTTACCACCTATCTCAGAAATGTAATGCTAAATCCTCTTAGCCACACAACAATTAAAAAACAGATTATTAATAGTTTCATTCTCAGCACAAAACAGGCAAGTCATATCATCCAGTTTTCTTCTAATGGTCAAATTATCTCTGTTCAAGAGCCTATTATTAGATAAAAGCCATAGAAATACGTGGACCCTATGGGGTACTTTAAATTTCCACATAACATGAGTATACACAGGTTGGATGCCTCTAAAATGGGCAGCATAAGTTTTGTTTTTTTTTATCATGATTGTGGAGTGTGAAAAGCTGAATAATTTGGTCCCTGTCCATGGTTATGACCTTACATGCTTGCTTAGGTATAGTGGCTATCTTTGATCTACAGACCAGGAGGGGCACCTTTTTGTTTTCATGTCACATACATCTGGCACAAAATCTTGTAATGTGTGACATGAATCCTTGTCAGTAGCTGCTCTCTGAAGATGGTAGCATTCTGCTTCCTCTGCTCCTTGTACAATTTATAATGGAACATGTAGTGATTGAGATGTTTGTATCAGGGCTATCAGCCAAAACAGGATGATACAGCCACCATCTTATTCCACTGCAAATTTTAAGAATATACTGAACGTTTTCCATCATCAGTATGGAAATTATTTATTTCTTCTCTGTTTCTGCTCTGTCAAGGATGAAGAACTTTAGTGCACATCCATTTCAGATGTATACTAGCTTTCATTATTTAGAGTTTAGACAACAAATAGGATTGGTCTTCCCTCTGGTAAATTGAAATGTCTGCCCAAGATGCCTGTCCCCTCGATCCCAGTATTCAGTCTTAAAGTGTGGTTGATGATTTATTGAGTGTATTACTGATTGGGTGGATCTTTTCTATGGAGACCAGTTATTCTCTGCATACCACCAATTTGAATTTGTGAGTGCAATGTTAGACAGAGTGGTAAACTAGATCTTACATGAATATGAAATCATGCTGATATAGGTTTACATGCCTCTAATATCCCCTTAATGTATGCTGCAGACAAGGTTGACCGTGCTGTTAGCACTGCAATCTACTTCTTACTTCCTGCAGGGAGTGTTTCACGTCTCCACCGCATTCCCTGTGCTGAAACCTGGCACTTCTACAATGGAGAGCCTCTCACGGTTAGCATCATTTATTTCACCGACATCATTGAGCTACCTTCTTGCTATTCCACGCCTAAATCAATTAGGCAACTAGTTGGCATGCTTGATCTAATACTGCTAGTCTGTGTTTGTCATAGGTCTTTGAGCTTCACGACGATGGTCACATTGATCTTACTGTCATTGGCCCACACCTTGAGGCTGGCCAGCGCCCCCAATATACCGTGCCACCAAACGTGTGGTTTGGCTCCTTCCCCACACTAGACGTCGAGTCGTTCGCATCTGATGGCAGCGTTCTTGTCAAATCTCGAAAGAGGGACCCCGAGCTGCATTACTCCCTTGTTGGATGCACCTGTGCCCCTGGCTTCCAGTACGAGGACTTTGAAATGGCCAAATTTGAGGACGTGAGTTCCATTGCTCCCAAGGCTGAACCCTTCCTCAAGTTCCTTATTCCCTCTACCGAGTAACTCCTGAGTGGCCTCAGATGATTCTGGATGGGTTCTTAGCATTTGTATACTGTCAAGAGTACCGGATGGCATCTTTAGTTTGAATTCCATGAGGGTTCTGCTTTTACAATCATGTAGACAGTAAACTGTATCTATGTTGTGGTACAAGTTGAACAATTGGTGTGTATTGAAACAGAATAACAGCTAGGCTTGATGTTGAAATTGGAGGTGCTTTTGCAAACCCTGAAACTGTCGCAGGATGCTGGGAGCATAGTAGGATCTTATAAGGTTCACGTGATTAAATTCAACCGCTTCTTGCCATCGATCGTGCAGAGAGCTTCTGGAAAGAGTGAACCTGCAAGGCAGAAGGCAAGTGTGTCGTGCTTGTCCACTCCTATCCTCATATTCTGTTGCTGCTTGTCATTCTGGTGGGTATGGTGCGGTGATGCCGTGATGCGGAGGTCAGATTGTGGCCCAGCCGCCCAGGTCTGGTGTAAACACGGCCCAGATGTTTGGGCGCCCTCGCTACTCGCTAGGACCTTAGGACTCGAATTATTCGAGCCTTTGGGCTTTGGTACCTAATGATATGCCAGTTGAATCAATAATGATATGCCATGGCGTCCGTTCGCTCGACGCGTCCCCGCTCGTGGGGCTCATCCTCATCCACTCATCGCGACAGACTCTGAGCCCACGCCATCGCGCTCACGGTGCGCCGCTCGCTAGCGTCGAGCGCTTGCGCCACCCGCGCTCGCGGGACGGACTCCGCCCGCGCCGCGCACACCCCCTGCTCGGACTCGTGCCTCCCGCCGTGGCCGCGCTCCATCCGCCTACCGCCGCCACTACAGAGGTCCGTGCCGCTGTCGAGCTCCAAACCGGTGACCTCCGTGCATTCCGTGGCATCGAGCTCGGCGTTGAGCTCCACAACGAAAAGCTCCATTTGTCCTAGCAGCAAGATTAACTCTGGGCATAATTAACCAAAGACCGAAGACCGAACCGAAAAGACCGAGACCGAGACCGAAAAGACCGAGACCGAAAAGTTCGGTCATGAGTTCGGTCCTGGCTCCCAACTAACCGAAGTAACCGATAGAAGTTTGGTCATATGTGTCGGTTAACCAAACTGACCGAACTGACCGTAGTTCTGTAGACTTTGTTCGTAATGTCATTATGTGTGATTGTGATTTGTGATAACTGAGAAAGTTGTATGTTAGAACTTGTCATAATAATGTGTGGTTTGTTTTATATATTGTGTTGTTATTTTTGTGCCTTCAAATAACAAGCATGCTGTTGAAAATTGATATAGATTCTGCTATTGTTTGTGGCTACTACTCAGGTCCGGTTAGTTCGGTCGTGACCGAGACCGAACCGAACTAACCGAGACCGAACTTCCTCGGTCTTCGTTTTTTGCAAAGACCGATCGGTCTCAAGTTTCTGATGACCGAACTGACCGAATGACCGAGGAACCGAACCGATCGGTTCGGTCTGACCGAATGCCCAGGGTGAAGCAAGATGACATTGCGCTAAAAGAGCATGTTGCAAGCGTATGTTTCAAGTGTTTCAGATGTTTCTGAGGTACGTTGCAAGTGTTTCGTATAGATGTTGCAAAAGTAGATCGAGATATTCCATATGTTGCAATGGTTGTACATGTATGTTGCAAACGTCTATTGGAAGTGTTTCATACGTATGTTGGAAGTGTGTTTATTTGGATATTGCATGTCTCACACATATGTTGAAAATGTTTTTATTTGGATATTGCGTATGTGTTGTAATGTTTTTCAAGTGTTTCAGACGCATGTTTAAAGCGCTTCATTCTGTTTTCAGACGTATGTTGCAAGTGTTGTATCTGGATATTTTAAAAGTAGATCAGATGTTGCATCTTGCTCCTCGCTTCTGTTGCCTTGCCTTGGTGTCTCCTTTTCACCTTCTGCTACCTTTGTCTTGTTTGCTTCTCTTATAATCCGTCTTTTTCGGTCGGAACAATGTTTTTCTCTCACAACAAATCAGCCGGAACAATGTTTCGGCTTGTTTTTCAGCGAAACGAACGGGCCCTTGCATCCTTCTCAGACTGCGGAGGGGGCGCGGCAAGGGCCGGTGAAGGGGGCGCATCGGGGGATGGCGGCGTGGACACGAGCGCACGCTCTCCTCTTCTGTTACACGGGCAGTTAGGGCTTCGGTCCCTTCAGTTTTTATGAGATGGGACGGTCCTACTGGTGGGCCGTGACGGTAGCCTATGGTTCGGTTGGCTCAGCTACGTCCGGTCTTGCGGTTGGCGTCGGACGACGTCCGGCCGCGAGTACTTCTCCCTAGTTGAATTGCGAACACTAACCGGTTCGTCCGAAGGTAGATAGACCAGAATTACTTCGCGGACACTATGGGTGATGCACTGATGCACAGTGTCTTCTGCTTACGAGTTACGGCACGCTCCGATCCGTTCGCATCCATCACCTACTGCAGAGCTGCTCGCCCTGGTCTGTTTCTGATCCAGCTAAATAAGTGAGATTAAGAGTAGTACTGTAGTAGGTTCCAGTCATCATCCGTCGCGCTAAATAAGTGTAGTACCCCTCGGCCCCAGGTAAGTGGGTACTCGATCCGAAGCAAAAACGACTCTGCGTCATGGAAAGAGCTGTCATACAAATTTGTAGGAACTATACACAGCACAAGACTGTACTTCTGTACAAATAATTAGGTTCTCCATCAGTGTGTGCTAATGTCCAAGATAAATACAGGACCCATTCGTGACAAGACGAGGGGCAAGTACACCAACTCACTAACACTAATACTATGTTGCCAATCATACACGTACTTGACGTTTACGAGTTAACAACTCAAGGATCGAGATCCGACACAAATACATTTTTGTAGGAACTATACACAGCACAAGACTGTACTTCTGTACAAATAATTAGGTTCTCCATCAGTGTGTGCTAAAGTCCAAGATAAATACAGGACCCATTCGTGACAAGACGAGGGGCAAGTACACCAACTCACTAACACTAATACTATGTTGCCAATCATACGGCTGAAAACCCTCAACAACCGCGCGCTGTCCAATTTTGCACAGTTAAGAAGTATCAGTCCTAATTCTCGATCTATAAGTAGCATAAAATGTCCACCCCCAAACCCACAAACTTTCACATTCCCATGCGTTGCATGTTGCACCACATTTACCACCAATGGAGCTATCAGTCCTAATTCTCGATCTATGGTGTAGCCATCGTGAAAATGTCCACCCCAAACCCACAAACTTTCACACGGCTCCACCGATGAAGCCCCTAAAATGCGTTGCATGTTGCACCACATTTACCACCAATGGAGCTATCACCATTGTTGGTCACCTCCCTTGCCATGGTGCTCGCCATCGTGATCCTCCGCAGACTAAAACGCACATCCCGCCACGTTTATCGCCTCCCGCCGGGTCCGAGACCATGGCCTGTGATCGGTAACTTCAACCTGATCGGCGCGCTGCCGCACCGCTCCATCCACGAGCTCTCCAAGAAGTACAGCGAGCTCATGCACCTCCGCTTCGGCTCCTACTCCGTCGTCGTCGCCTCGTCCGCCGAGATGGCCAAGCTGTTCCTCAAGACCCATGACCTGCTCTTCCTGGACCGCCCCAGGACGGCCGCCGGCAAGCACACCACCTACAACTACGCCGACATCACGTGGTCGCCCTACGGCGCGTACTGGCGCCACGCGCGCCGCGTCTGCGCCACCCAGCTGTTCAGCCCCGCCCGCCTCGCGTCGTTCGAGCATATCCGCGCCGACGAGGTGCGCTCGCTCGTGCGCGGCCTCTTCGCGGCGTCGGCGTCGGGTCGCGCCGTGCGCCTCAACAAGGACCACCTGTCCACGCTCAGCATGAACGTGATCACGCGGATGGTGCTGGGCAAGCGGCTCTTCGACGGCGGTGAAAGCGTGGCGGAGGGGCCGGTGTCGTCGCTGGCCGACTTCAAGTGGATGATGGACGAGCTGCTGCTGGTGAACGGCGTGCTCAACATCGGCGACTGGATTCCATGGCTGGACTGGCTCGACTTGCAAGGCTACGTGCGGCGGATGAAGAGGATCGGAAAGAGGTTCAGCGAGTTCATAGAGTACATCCTCGACGAGCACGGCGAGCGTCGGCGGCGCGAGGGCGAGAGCTTCGTGGCGCGGGACATGGTGGACGTGCTGATGCAGCTCGCAGATGATCCCACCTTCGAGGTCCAGATCGGCCGCGTAGGTGTCAAGGCGTTCACCCAGGACCTCATAGTTGGTGGCTCTGAAAGCACGTCCGTCACCGTGGAGTGGGCCATCTCGGAGCTGCTTAGGAAGCCCTCCATCTTCGCCATGGCTACCGAGGAGCTCGACCGTGTCATCGGCCACGGTCGCTGGGTCACTGAGAAGGACATAGCCCATCTCCCCTACCTCCAGACCATTGTAAAGGAAACCATGCGCTTGCACCCCATCGTGCCGCTCCTCATTCCGCGCGTTACCCGTGAGGATGCTTCCATTGCCGGCTACGACATTCCCAAGGGCACACACGTCCTTGTGAACGTGTGGACTATCGGCAGAGACCCGGCCCTGTGGGACGCGCCGGAGGAGTTCATGCCGGAGAGGTTCGTCGGGAGCAAGATCGACGTGAAAGGGCAGGATTTCGAGCTGCTGCCGTCCGGGTCCGGCCGGCGGATGTGCCCCGGTTACAACCTTGGGCTGAAGGAGATACAGCTGAGCTTGGCTAACTTACTCCACGGTTTTGCGTGGAGGCTGCCCGAGGGTGTGGCGAAGGAGGATCTGAGCATGGACGAAGTCTTCGGGCTATCGACCACGCGCAAGCTCCCGCTCGAGGTTGTCGTCCAACCAAGGCTCCCTGCTGAACTCTACGCATGATGGGGTTCTTCCCAAGTGGATTCATGCAGGTTGCAACATGTTGGTGTCGAGATATATATGATGGTTGTAATTTCTGTACACGTGTGTTGCTATTTTCTAAGCTGCAAGAAATAACGTGCATTCATAAGATCATCTCCAACATGTCCCTACTCTATTTTTTCATCAGTGTTTTAAATAGCCGGGTAAGGCATTTAAGGATCTACCTCTAGAAACACCAAATAGCCGGCTATAACAGGCTAAAACAACACCTAACAGCTAAATTGTATATATCAAAATAGCTAAATTCTCCTCAAACAGCTATACTCAGAGTTAGCGTGACAACTATAGCCGAATATTTAGAACCTTGATTTTTTCACAGAATCTAATATAATGGTTTTGTGTAGTGCGCGACTCACTACTACAGCAAATTAACGGAGGCAGGTGTTTTTTTATTTTCGGAGGTGGGCAGAGGCAACCGCCTCCGTCCAAAGGTCACGGTTAATCCATGAACTACGGAGGCGGTTGCTTTGCCCGCCTCCGTAAATCAGATTAAAATAATAAAAAAAGCAGCTGAGCCCAATGCCGAGCCCATTCGGGCCCGACGTCGAGCCCAGCCACGCCGCCGCCGTCCTAGATCCGCACCGCCGGATCTAGCACCGCCGTCACCCGCCGTGCCGCACGTAGGAGCAGGGAGGGCCAGCCTCCTCTTCGTCGGATATGCGTCGGTGGTGGCCGGATCCGCGTCGGGGGAGCTCGATCCGTGCCGGGGAGGTTGATCCGTGCAGGGAAGGTCGATCCACGCCGGGAGGACCTCAATCTGCGCTAGAGGACCTCGATCTCGCCGCTGCCGCTCGAAGGAGAGGCCGCCACTGCCGGGCCCGCGCGCCAGGACGCCGCCGCCACCGAGCCTGCTTGCGAGGTCTCCGCGGGCGCCACGCCCATGCACGAGGCCTCCTCCTCCGCCACCGCCAGGCCGCGTGAGAGGCCTCCGCCGCCATCACACTGGGAAAGGGAGGGAGAGCAAGTGCGCCGCGAAGGGAGAGGGAGGGAGGGCGGGTGCGCCGCGCCGTCTAAGGGAGGGAGAGCGGGTGCGCCGCGCCATCTGGAGAGGGAGGGAGAGCAAGGTCGGGTGCGCCGCGCGCCGTTTGCGGGAGGGAGGGAGAGGGCTGAGAGAGAGAGAGAGAGAGAGAGAGAGAGAGAGAGTGGATAAGGGAGAATGCAGACGGCGCGCCGCACCCGCTCTCCCTCCCTCAGATCGACGGCGCGGCGCACCCGCTCTCCATTCCTCAGACGGCACGGCGCACCTGGCCTCCCTCGGATGAGCGTGATATCGGGCTGAGATGGGCTGCCTGCTGGGCCAGTATTTTCTATGGCGGGCCATATAGTGTGCCTGGCTCCGTTAATTGATTTACGGAGGCGGTTGCCTTAAAACGCCCGTCTCGGTTAAGTTTGATAATTCGAGGCGGGCACAGTAGGTTGTCCACCTCGGTTAATGATTAACCGAGGCGGTTGCTAGGGCGGCTGCCCCGCCACCGAATAACGGAGGCCGGCGTTGCCCGCCTTCGAGCCCAAAAGGCAAACGTCTCGGTTAAGTTTTATTGTAGTAGTAACTCCTGCAGCTCAGTCCGTTGGTGTGGTGGATTGGATGCTTGAGCACCATGCATCGCAGTGATTAGGAGCGGCCCTTATGGGTGTCGTTGTGTTTTAGTTTTGGGATTGCTGATGGCAGCACGTCAAACCCGATAAGGAAAAACTAAATCATATTTCCTTGTCTTTTGCACTAGTTCAGTCCACATTTTGAAAATATGGTAACTTTCTTATATAGTGTATGCTTTCAATTCCGTTTGCTCCATCTCGTCCCTTATATACAATTGATATATCTATAAAACAAGACCCATGATGTCTATATTTTAGAATAATTTTATGTACTTGTAATTTATCTTGTGTGTAGTAGCTACTTATGTATTAGTTATGTAGCAAAATCATGAAGAAGCCGAGTCCATTCAATGCGCTGACAAAAATATAGATAGTTTCACCCTAGGCGATGTTTGGGTTATGTGTCTTCAAGTAAGAAAAATATGTGAAATAACAAAGGGTGCATATATATAGGTCTAATATAATGGTTGTTGTTTGTGAGAAAAAAACAGCTTGCTCTCGTTTGAGTGGTTAAGAGTTTTGCTTAGAGTTAGGGAAAGGGAGATATTCTTGTTCTTGAGTATTTGATATCCAATGCATTGATTTTCTAGGAATCACTTGTATCGGTCGGTATATACTCTTATCAAAGTAGGTTACTTTGCCCGCCAACCAGAGCATTCTAGATAGCAAACTTTTTTTACCGCGTCTGATCCAAATTCTACGGTATATCCGTTCACCGACCGTACACATGCCAACAAAAAAAATAAAATAAACGATAGCAATTTTTTAAAAACTCTTCACTTCCCCCTGCGCCCCTCGCTCTCCCCGCACGCCACTCCCCCGCGTCCCTCGCTCTCCCCGCACGCCGCCCCCTCCCCCACGCGCCGTCCTCCTGCTCTGCCGGCCCTCTCCGCGGCGCCCTCCGGAGCCCTCCCCTCCGCATGCTCCACTGCCACTCCGCCCTTTCCAGCGCCGCCCCTGTTCCATCCTCTACATCCCCTCCTCTGAACGCACCTCTGTCCTCACCTGCGCCGCCACCCCGCCGTGCCCTAGGGTTGGCTGGACTCATCCCCGACGCCTCGTCGCCGTGCCCTAGGGATGCCTGCCGTCACCTCCGCCGCCGTGACGTGGTGCAGGGCTGGCCGCCCTTGCCTGTGTCGCCGTCACATGCCCTAGGGTTGGTCGCCCTCGCCTGCGCCGCCAGTGCGATGGTCCCGAGCTGTCGCTGTCACATGACAGCCTCGTTAGAGCAAAGTGTGTCAGGTTGTGGGTGCATACTCCTGGTTTATGATTCTAGATGTCCAAAAACTTTTTCTTTTGTTTTCATTCAATTTTTGTTTTGACTGGACATTGATTTTGTTTCCAGGGATCTAATGGAGATGTATTGTCTATTTTTGGTGTGCCAACTAATGTGTCTTCGTGTCTTGTGATGATGTCGGCTCCCCCTTCCTTCTCTAGAAATTGCTACACAGGTAATTTCTATTTTATCCATCTGTTCGGTTTTTCCCCTTCCTTGATTATGTCACAGAATGTAATTGTGAATTGTGGTGGAGGTGCATACTGATCGCTTTTTGCAAATTGGTTGACAGGGATGTATTGCCTTTGACAAAAAAAAATACACGCCAGCTTCAAAGGCAAGGCATGTTAGTGTTAGTGTTATATATCTTTAATTTGTTATGGCTAGCAAAAAGATTCATGACCAACATAGAATTAAAATTTCTTTTGGGCATAGTCCATGTTTTTCCTAGCTGTTATTGATCATGTGTAGCATAGGTAAATAGGCCTACTTATCTTCATAACTGATTAGTACTCATGTAGGCTTAGTGAGTTTGTTTTAGTTTCCTATTAATCTGTCGCCACATATCTTAATTAGTACATGTCAATTGTTTTTGAAGCTATCATGTTATCAGATTATCAAATTTGTCTCTATATATGGGTGTTCCACTGATAATTAACATGCTAATACTATGGCCATGTGACCCCTTCTCTGTAGGTACGATGTCCTACAAAGTGCCCTCATGATTTTTGAAGAAATGTGTACATGGATATATTGGACACAGATCTCAAACACTAAGGTGTAGCATCTTTGCTCTGCTTATGCTATTAGTTTTGGTGTCAGTTTCAAAGGCAAGACATATTAGTGTTAGCATTATATACTTTTTTATGGCTACCAAAAAGATTCAGGAACAACATAGAATTAAAATTTCTTTTGGGCGTACTCCATATTTTTCCGTACCTGTTACTGATCATGTGTAGCATAGGTAAACAGAGCTGCTTATCTTCATAACAGATCAAGGTTAGACAGCTCTGCATTCAGTTTACCATATGTTCCTTCCAGTTTGACCTCTTTAGTACTTTGTCATAATTTGTCTGCGGCAGGTTGTCCTGAGTCTTTTTTGTGTCTAACAAACATTATTGATGGACTAATTAGCGCTCTTTCAGATCCTATGTTCACTTATTGAGATGGTAGCTCCATACTGCTTATGTTTTCAGTTTTTTTATTTAGATACTCTTGCCGTCATTTCTAAGTGTGATGTTATTCTTCCTGAATGCAGAGGCTACACATGCGTATTCAGTTGTTGGCTTTCATAATAGAGATCTTTCTCATTTTTAGATTACACTTATATACTTTGTTTACGTTTTCCCTTCACATTGTTTCATATAATTCCTCACATCGCATTTTTCTGTGTTGCTAACAATTGCTTTGTATTGCAAAAACTTCTTATTTACTTCTCAGCCTCCATATGTACAACGCAGCTGCAGGTACTTCCTATGTTGGTAAGTTGTCATCCTTTTCTCTCTCTTTTTTAAAAAAATCTGCAAACTATATTATGCCTGCTTAGTTGCAACAAACTGATTTTTTCCTGATTTTTGTGTAGTGGCAAGGTCGTATTTTGTAGTGATTTAGTCACCAGCAGCAGCTGCTAACTGATTTGTTCATCTGCTGTTCGGGTGAGAATCTTTTTTTGGTCTCTTTTACTTTACATTTTTTTCATGCATCGCTTCCATTTGATTGTGATTTTCTGCACCGGGAAAAACCGGAACTCATTACAGTAGTGACCCGTTTGATTGTGATGGTGCCAACCTTGTTTTGTCCATTGGAAAAGCTCTACTGTTGGCCTACTTTCAGAGCTCAGAAATCACAGTTGTGTTACTATGCTCCTACTATTTGCCTACTTTCATAGTTCAGAGATTGTGGGGGTGTTTGTATGCCCTCACCGAGTAGTTTTTTTTGTCATGCCATGTTGGAATCTGTCGGCACTAATTTTCCTTTCTGCTGGTGCGGTGCCCGCGAGGTGTTTTACGGTGATTTAGCCATCAACCAGCCTTCCTACAAGTCTTCTTGTTCTGCTTAGTGCGTACCTATGTTCATACGTTTCTTGCAT